AAAAAAAAAAAAAAAAACTATATATCTATATATATATATATATATATATATATATATATATATATATATATATATATATATATATATACCATCTTTTAATAACAATAATGATAATTCATTCATTAATTTTTCTTCGGCTTAGTCTCTGATTTATCAGGGGTCGCCTGATACTAAACATAACATAATGAACATGAACATAATTTATATTGAACTGTAAGTATTGAACTGTAAGCACTTCTGTCTTTGTGTCGTGTTATTTGGAAGCCCCCCCTCCCCAACCCCCACCCAAAAAAAAAGACAGAAGAAGCTCTGTGAAAATAGCAGCGTTTGGAGGCTATTTTAGCTCCCTCTGCCTTAACATTATAGTTCCACTGGCCACACCCCCTAGCAGCGCAGTGTGTGCACGGTAAAAGTACGTTTGTGATCTCACAGGCCCGGAAGTCTATTTTTGCAGTCCCCAAAATTCGTTCATTGTAGGCTTTGCTAGGCTAACTCTGTAAAAACCAAGGCCTCCCTTTGCATTGAACGTTGAGCGTCTTACATTCAGAGATGCTGTTTATGTTCACACAGCTACATTACACATCAACTAAAGTTTGAAATATGATATCGTAGTGGACCACCCCTTTAATTTTTGAAATAGAAACGAGACGAAAACCTTAAGTTTATAGTGTGAGCTGGTAGTTTTAATAGCTAATAGAAGTATCTTAAGTAATGTATATTTTTATTCCTAAAATATGATAAGAGCTCTGTACTGATGATGATCTGGATTATCATTATGTTTTTTTATTTTGTCTTCCAGCTATCAGTCAGGATGGAGTGAATGTAAAGGGATATTTTGCCTGGTCACTTCTGGATAACTTTGAGTGGAACGACGGCTTCAACGTGCGCTTCGGCCTGTTTCATGTGGATTTCTCATCTTCTGAATTAAAGCGCACACTTTACCGCTCAGGTAGAGACTACACAGCCCTGATAGCCAAACATCGCTCTCAAAGTAAACCCAAGAGTATTTAACTGAATTAAATATTACAGTGTGTTGCACATGATCAAGAAATCCGTCATTAATATATGATGAAATATTTGTCATGATTTTGCTTTTGCATCCCAATAATAAAACTACTAATATTTGTACTAATAGTAAGTGTTTACAAATGTGATATATGGCAAAATATGCAAATTATATATATGCCAAATTTATGTTTAGATTTCACATATGTAAAGTATTTGTAATATAGTTGAAAGAAAAAATATATATATATATACATTCATTCATTCATTTTTCTTCGGCTTAGTCTCCATTTCACAGGACACCACAGACACATATATATATGTGTATGTGTGTGTGTGTGTGTGTGTGTGTGTGTGTGTGTGTGTGTGTGTGTGTGTGTGTGTGTGTGTGTGTGTGTGTGTGTGTGTGTGTGTGTGTGTGTATATATATATATATATATATATATATATATATATATATATATATATATATATATATATATATATATAATAATGTGACTTTTTAAAGCTATTTTGACCACTGGATTAGAAAATGTACATGATTTGCATCTAAAAAATGTGATAAACATATAATAACTTACAATTGGACGACTGAAAACTTATTTACATGTTATTTTTATGCTCAGTAGCCAAAACGTCCTTGGAGGACGTTCAGTAAATTAAATGGTAATTCATAAATCTGCATTTTTTCATTCTCAAGTGATACCGTACTTTGTATTTTGTCAATCGTAAAAAATTTAATTAAAATTAAACTTTATCAAGACTATTTCGGCTGTCGTTGTGTTGGTGCGTGATGACGTCAGGCATATTGCGTGCTGACGTTCTTCGCTGACTTTTAAGGGGCGCTATTCGAAACTATAAAGCAAGGAAGGCGGTGTTGCGCATACAACATTAGCTCTGTGTAGTTTCAATTCATTTACTCTCCCTAAAATGTCTGCAGTAGATATAACCGCATTTCCAAAGGACTTTGCGTGGGGAGCTGCGACTGCTGCTTATCAAATAGAAGGTAAGTTTCCCTTACGTTATTGTTCATCTATACTCTAGTAAACATCGCAGTGACTGGTTATTGATTGAGCTATATGTCTGGACACATTTACAGATGCTTGCTGTGTCTATCAGCAAAAGCATAATTATTCAGTACAAAAGTATTATGGCATTACATTGTTTTAACCCGCTATTATAATGCTTTTAGACACGTGCTGTTGTAATAATATGCTTTTATTTTAAATACATTATAATAACATTTAAATATGATGCTTCAACACTGTATTATAGTACTTCTACAGTTATGTTTTGTATTTTTTTATTTTCAATTTTTTGTGAATAATCAACTGTGTTTTTTGTATATTATAGTGTCTATTTACATGTTTTGTTTCATTTCATTCATTATTTTGCACATGCAATTTATCATGTATTTGTAATGTTATATTGCATAATTCTATACAATATGTGTAGAAAATTTAAGGTCTAACAATAAACATTTTTTATCAACCAAAATGTGATAACATATGGCTGATGACACAAAAAACTATTTAAGGAAATGATATGAAATATGATATGTACTGTCTTGCAGGTGGCTGGAATATGGATGGTAGAGGCCCCAGCATATGGGACACATTCTGCCATGAAGGAGGACGGGTGTTTGGAGACCATACCGGAGATGTAGCCTGTAACAGCTATCAACTCTGGGAAGAAGACCTGAAATGTATCCAGCAGCTCGATCTCAGCCATTACCGTCTGTCCGTGTCCTGGTCACGGATCCTTCCCGATGGAACCACAAATCATATCAATCCAAAAGGTTCAAAAGAGTCAAATACCAAAGCCAATTTCTTGTTGGTTTTTCTTCTCTTTGCTTGACAGATTTACAACAAAGGCATTAAGTACTTTAACTTTTTGACACACACACACACACACACATACTCGTACATCTATCTTTATGGGGACTTCCCATAGATGTAGTTTTTTTTATACTGTACAGACTGTATTTTCTATACCCCTACCCTAAACCCAACCATCACAGGAAACAATCTTCATTTTTACATTTTCAAAATACTTAATTCTGTCTGATTTATTAGGTGTTTTCCTTGTGAGTACCACAAAATTGTCCCCACAAGGTCAAAATTTACCTGTATTGCTAAACTTGTGGGAGCGTTTGGTCCCCATAATGTAAGGAATACAATGCACACACACACACACACACACACACACAAATTTTCATTAATTCATTCATTTTCCTTTGCCTTAGTCCCTTATTTATTACAGGTCACCACAGCTGAATGAACCGCCAACTATTCAGGCATATGTTTTACGCAGCGGATGCCCTTCCTGCTGCAACCCAGTTCTGGGAAACACCCATACACACTCATTCACACACGCAATCATATACTACAGCCAATTTTGCTCACCTATAGCGCATGTGTTTGGACTGTAGGGAGGAAGGAAAGAAGGGAGGAAACCCACGCCGACACAGGGAGAACATGCAAACTCCACACAGAAATGCCAACTGACCCAGCCAGGGCTCAAACTAGTGACCTTCTTGCTGTGTGGTGACAGTGCTAACCACTGAGCCACAGTCGCCCCACACACAAATAGAGTAATAATAATAATACTGCAAATAGCATCAACACAATAATGATTTAACACGGATACACAGAATTACACATTTAAATTATAAAGTAATGAAAAAGCAAAAAATAAAGATAAAGCACTGATATCACACATTTCTCATTCATAACCTACTATTTCCCATTACTGGGTTGTAGCTGGAAGGGCATCCGCTATGGCGACCACTGATGAATAAGGGGCCTAAAGCCTGGTTTATACTTCTGCGTCAAGTGATCGGCGTGACCCACGGTGCATGCAACGTGCGTAGCTGTGCATTCATACTTCTGCGTGCTGTTTCTGTTGCTCTGCAGTGACACTTCCGAAACGCTAGTGGGCAGTAATGTGTTTATGTTACTCTGTGTCAAGTTTCTTCACTGGTGTTTTTTTTCTGGACGCTTCCTTAAAGTACAAGTGGTTCAAATTCGCTCATTTTGAGGCAGGAAGCGGCGGACGTGCAACAACTTGAACCATAAGGTAAACACAAAACAAAACTGTTCATATGGCGCTGCTTCACGAGACATGACACTTGTAAACACTAGCTCCGACAGACTTGCCGTGGTCGTCGGTGTTGCTGATGGCTCTCTGTCCCACCCACACTTATCAGCACTACCAAGCCAACCAATCACAGAGTTTGTGATATGCATCGTTGCGACATTTAGTTAAATTTTTTTGAGAGGTGCGTGTCAGTGACTCCGACAGCCACGGCGAGGGCTTTGTATCTACGCGTAGGTTGCGCCGTAGCATACGAGTGCCCTTGAAGCAGAAGTATAAATCAGCCTCAAGGCGAAGGAAAATGAATGAATAACTCACAACTAACCTATCTGTAGTTTATTGCTATAATATAATGTGAGAAAATGTGATTTAAAAAAGAAAAACCAAATATAAACATAAAAATATTTAAATATTTCTTGTTTGCTTGTTATCTTATCCAGGGGTTCCCAAACTTATTAGCTTGTGACCCCCAAAATAACAATGCTAGTGACTCGCGACCCCCAATATCCTCTGAGGTGGTTATATATACAGAAACCTTGCATGCGATAGCGCGCACACACCAATAGACCAAAGTTTATTCTTAGTTTAATCTTTTTTTAATGTAAATCAGAGCTGTAAATGTGCCAGAAAGTTTAACCTGATGTTATAAAATCAATCTGCTGCATCTGACGCCATAGGTGTGTCTTTAAAATTATGTAATTACACCAGGGGTCGCAAATCAATAGAACTAGTAACTATAAGCTACTGTAGTAACTATATAGTATATATTAACTATAAACAACAATTTTTCTCTTCAGTAGTTTGATAAAATATGGTTTTATATAAATAATTAGATTTTTGGAAATCACCAGGCGACCCCCCCCCCCCCTTCATTGTCCCGCGACCCCTTGGGGGGTCCCGACCCCCACTTTGAGAACCACTGATCTAATCCACCAAATCCTGCCTTAATCGCATGTATGGACAGCACCTACAAGATAGATTTGAGGTTTTTACTTTGCCATACACTGCATAATGGTGCTAAATAATTTTTGTTGTTCATTTTTCCAATCCAGGCTCATTCTGAAAACGTACCCCTAAATACATTTCTAAAGACTGCCAAATATGTTCCAGGAGCTGTTTTGCGAAGGTTTTGTTTTCGCAAATCCACCAGAGGCCGCTGTGTATGCTTTTTGAGATCTCAAATTTCGCTTGCGTGTGCCATTCGCGCCTGCTCTTCTCGCGTAAATCCAACTGAGGCCTCTGTCGGCTGACTGACTGACTGACTGACTGACCCAGCCTTCCCCTTCCCTAAACCCAACCGATAGTGTTTTTAAAAGCACCGATTGACCAGCGTCCACCCTCTTCCCTAAACCCAACTGAAAGTGTTTTTAAAAGTAATCCAGAAAAAGAAAAGCCCTCGCGGCAGCCTGATTTTTTTTTTTTTTACCACATTTTAAGATGTTACCGTATTCTTACTAGGTTATTTACTTGCTTATTTTTTGGCTTTTGTTTGCATCTTACCTGCTCTCTGGAACTGTTCTTCGACGGACTTGAACCCCGTCGTCTCGGTCAATTCCGCTCTGTCACAAGTCTGCTGGCATACACGGCGAGCTACTGAACAAACTGGTAACAGCGGAAAAGCTGCCGATATGGAGGTAAGCAGTCAGCTAGTCAGTGAGAAATAAAACGGCGTCAAACCACCCAATAGCGTTTGTTTTAAAGACGAAATGCAGCCATACGTACTTCTGGCTACATCATTTGCGATCTCCAGAAATGTACATAGGGCTACGTTTTCAGAATGTGCCTATGTTGGTACGATGTTGTTTAACTCTTTTTCTGTAACCCGTAGGTGTGGAGTATTACAACAAAGTGATCGACAGCTTGATTGCTAGTGGTGTGACCCCCATGATCACCCTGTGGCACATGGACTTACCTCAGGCCCTGCAGGATTGCGGTGGCTGGTGCTCGGCAGAGATTGCTGACACCTTTGAAAGTTATGCCAGCTTTTGCTTTAAGACCTTTGGAGACCGAGTCAAGCTCTGGATTACACTGAATGAACCTTATGTTTGTGCTATGCTAGGCTACGAGGATGGTATCTTTGCCCCTGGGATTAAAGACCCAGGACTGTCCGTCTATGTGGCTGGTCATAACATGCTACGGGCACATGCTAAAGCCTGGCATGCTTATAATACACATTTCAGGCCTTCACAAGGAGGGCAAGTATCTCTGGCTTTGAACAGTGACTGGGCAGAGCCGTTGACTGCAAAAGATGCTGCGGCCACCGAACGCTATAAAGAGTTCACTCTGGACTGGTTTGCTTGTCCGGTGTTTTGCACAGGAGATTACCCGGAATCCATGAGGTCCCGGATTGAGAATAGGAGCCTGGAACTGGGGTATAAGCAAGGTTCACGACTGCCTCACTTCTCAAAAGACGAACCCTCTCCATTGGGCACAGCAGATTTCTTTGCGGTGAACTATTACACGTCTCGGAAAGTGAAAGATCTAAGTGAGAACACGGAGCTCAGTTTTGTTGGAGATCAGGGGGCGGAGGGTGTTATTGACCCATCGTGGCCCATTTGTGGGGTGCACTGGTTGGCTGTTTACCCTGAAGGATTGCGGAAGTTGCTAAAGTATATTAAGGTACTTCAATTTATTTGTGTACACCTACGTGATCAGGGTGAGGCAGTAGGTAGTGCTGTCAACTCACAGCAAGAAGATCGCTGGTTCGAACCTCGGCTCAGTTGGTGTTTCTGTGTGGAGTTTGCATGTTCTCCCTGCCTTCACGTGGGATTCCTCTGGGTGCTCCGGTTTCCCCCACAGTCCAAAGACATGTGGTACAGGTGAATTGGGTAGGCTAAATTGTCCGTAGTGTTTGAGTGTGTGTGTGAATGTGTGTGTGGATGTTTCCCAGAAATGGGTTGCGGCTGGAAGGGCATCCGCTGCGTAAAAACTTGAAGGATAAGTTGGCGGTTCATTCCGCTGTGTCGACCCCGGATTAATAAAGGGTCTAAGCCGACAAGAAAAATAGACCTCTGTGTCCTAAAAACAAATGACAAGTCAAGATTCCACCATAAGCTATTTGTCTGTACAAATTTCACATGAAAGAAACATTTAAAGGGGACCTGTTATGACCCTTTTTACAAGATGTAAAATAAGTCGCTGATGTCCCTAACTCGGGTTGGGTCGATAGACATCACGATGCTGAGCCGGCATTGCAATACCTCGGCCCCGCCCCCATCGCAGCAGCAACTCGCTTGCGAAAAACACACACTCAGGCCCCGTTTACACTAATACATCTGGAGCTCTCTCAACCTCAATAGACAGCAGAGGTCCAGAGACGTATTGATATTCAGTTGAAGTCAGAACTATTAGTCCCCCTGAATTATTAGCCCCCTTGTTTATTTTTTCCGCAATTTCTGTTTAACGGAGAGAAGATTTTTTTCAACACATTTTTAAACATAGTAGTTTTAATAACTCAGGTTAATTAGGTTAACTAGGCAGGTCAGGGTGATTAGGCAAGCTATTGTATAACAGTGGTTTGTCTATCAAAAAAATTATATCTGAAAGGGGCTAATAATATTGACCTTAAAATTGTATTTTAAAAATACAAATTGCTTTTATTCTAGCCAAAAAAAACAACAACAAAAAAAACAAAGAAGAATTTATCCAGAAGAAAAAATATTATCAGACATACTGTGAAAATTTCCTTGCTCTGTCAAACATCATTTGGGAAATACTAAAAAATAAAGACAAATTCAAAGGGGGCTAATAATTCTGACTTTAACTGTGTGTCCTTTAATATACTAACAAATGCTTTTACATTTGCTTGTTTTTTTAGGACACATACACCAGTGTGCCCATCTATATCACAGAAAATGGCTTTTCCCAGATGGGACCGGTTCAGATTGAAGATGTCGACCGCTCCCAGTTTTACGAGGACACTTTGCAGCAAGTTGGCAAAGGTACTGTCATGTTTGTGCTACGCAGAGTGCAAAGTTCATTTTTATACGGTTAGTCTAGATTTGACCTTTTAAAAAAAGAAGTGCACCTTAATGTTATATACTCTTGTATACAGTATATTACATCCAGTTGAAGACAAAATGATTTAATCACTTTTTCAAATATTTCCTAAGAATAACACATCTCTAAACATTATAGTTTTAATAACTCATCTCTAATAACTGATTTATTTATCCTTGCCATGATGTCAGTAAATAATATTTGACAAGATATTTTTCAAGACACTTCTATACAGCTTAAAGTGACATTTAAAGGTTTAACTAGGTTAATTAGGTTAACTAGGCAGGTTAGGGTAATTAGGCAAGTTATTGTATAATGATGGTTTGTTCTGTAGACTATTGAGAATAAAATGCCTAAAGGGGCTAATAATTTTTTCCTTAAAATTCTGTTTAAAAAATTTAAAACTGCTTTTATTCTAGCCGAAATAAAACAATTAAGACTTTCTCCAGAAGAAAAAATATTATCAGACATACTGTGAAAATTTCCTTGCTCTGTCAGACATCATTTGGGAAATATTAAAAGATACCAGTATTCAGCTTAAAGTGACATTTAGGGGTTTAACTAAGTTATTTTGGCAAGTTAGGGTAATTAGGCAAGTCATTGGACAACAGTGTTTTTTTTTGCACTCAATTAAAAAAAAAATTATTTATTCCAGCCAAACTGAAAGAAATGGGACTTTCTCTTGAAGAAGAGTATAATAGGAAATACTTTTAAAAGTTCCTTACTCTGTTAAAAACATCAACCAGGAAAATATATGATATTTTGAGACATAATCAGAATTTTGTCTTTAAATGTTTATTTATTTTTTAAATGAGATTGTGCTTGCATATATTATAATGTATTTGTTTTATTATTAATACTAACAATGCATGATAATGTGAAAAAAATAGCTCAATGATTAAAGTCGCAGAAGCTGTGATGTTTTTTGTTTTTCAAATAAAAACATATTGGTTTAATATTTAAAACATTCATTCATTAATTTTCTTGTCGGCTTAGTCCCTTTATTAATCCGGGGCCGCCATAGTGGAATGAACCACCAACTTATCCAGCAAGTTTTTACGCAGCAGATGCCCTTCCAGCCGCAACCCATCTATGGGAAACATTTACACACAGATTCACACACACACACACTCATACACTACGGACAATTTAGCCTACCCAATTCACCTGTACCGCATGTCTTTGGACTGTGGGGGGAACCGGAGCACCCGGAGGAAACCCACACGAAGGCAGGGAGAACATGCAAACTCCACACAGAAACGCCAACTGAGCCGAGGTTCGAACCAGCGACCTTCTTGCTGTGAGGCGACAGCACTACCTACTGCGCCACTGCCTCGCCCTGTATTTAAAACGGAGAAAAGAAATCCAAAATATTAGTTTCTAATTGTATAATAAAATTAATATTATTGAATATAATAGTAGTAGTAATGCACAAATATACACAAATATATATATATATATATATATATATATATATATATATATATATATATATATATATATATATATATATATATATATATATATATATATATATATATATATATATATATATATATATATATATATATATATATATATA